GGTAAGAAAAAAAACGGTAACCTGGTTGCCGAGTTCACGAAGTGAATTGGCTTGTTTTACAACGTCGTTGCCAAGCGACGAAAACCCAATCCCGATGGCAAACACCGGGGGGGGCAGCTTGTTTTACAACGTCGTTGCCAAGCGACGAAAACCCAACCCCGATGGCAAACACCGGGGGGGGCGGGGAGGGGGCGTTACAAGCATCCATACCCGTTCATTCCGCACGACACCGTACCATGGAAGGGGGAGAGGGGGCGTTACACGCATCCAAAGCCCTTCATTCCGCACAACAATCGTACCATGGAAGGGAGGGAGGGGGCGTCACACACATCCAAACCCCATTCCGTACAGCAACCGTTTAACACAGAGAAAGGGGAGGTCCGTCCATCGTAGGCCTAAACAGGCGGGCGTACTGCGGTACCTCGAGAACTACGATCGCCACGAGAAGAGCGGAGACGAAGACCGGACGCCAGCGCACGGACGGGCCCACGATAGCGTTGGCCGACAGCGCCAAAGCCACCAGCGTTAGCAGCTGCGTCGCACGGTGGGGCGGGGCCGGGGGGGTAAGTGACAATGGTAGAGGCATCCGACCATGGCATGTATTTACTACCCTGCTGGTGTTCAAGAGTGCCAGCGGCAGATCGCTTGCTCTTTCCGTGCGAGTTATTTTTGTGTTTGACGTTAGGTGGCGCGTACACCGGCGGCGGATTGTTTGGTGTCGTTCATGTCGTCATCGTTTGACAAACCCTTTCGGCATCCTACGTCGTGACTCTCCTCCTTTACCCTTTTAAGGCAGGGAACCGGACTGCCATCAACCACAACAGCAGGGAAGGCGCAGAGAAAGCAATCCAATCCCCGAAGAAATCGTAACCCCCAGGATCACGAGCACAGATAAATACTGGACATGAATACTTCGTAGGACCGTGAACGTTGAATAGGCTGTTTTTTTCTCTCAATATTTAACTTCTGCAATTAGTCTCAAGAAGTCAGTTTTCGGCGCACCGATATGTCGGTCGAACAGTTTCGCCCAAGTGCTTGAGCACACTAGATGAGAAGTGTTACTTGTTGTGTGACACGCCCCCCATCATTGGTCAGTACTCGCGCCAATCATGTGTCAACAAACCAACAAGTAACTGCCTAGAAGTGTTGTCCTTTCTCATGTTGTCCCTACAGCAGGTACTTACAAATTCACTTCCCCTAAGCATGCGCTACAATCTGGCTGCAAGCTCAACCAAGCTGCCCAGTGTGTCTTCCACGTATGTGATTGCAGCGTCTGCAGCAGCCTTAGAAACAAAACATAGATAAGAGGCTACGGATACCTCGATTACCTGAAATTATCAGGCGGCGTGTCGACCTACATACAACACATTGCAAGCACGTGTGTGTGCATTATTAGCACCTCTCTCTGCTGTGTGACGTGTGCAAATACAGTCTAACGCAAAAACTTCGAAGTACTATTTGAGAAGCGTTCATCATGTGGACTGCTGCAATGACACACTTGAGTGTTCGGGAGTAGGAGCGTGCAAATCGTACGGCCTCCTGCTGTACAGAACGGGCCCGGAGATAAGAAACGTCAAGATCGGGTCGGGCCTCAATATCTCGTTTTGGGCAGAGGGACCAGCCGAAGTCTGCCCAATTTCTTAGAACGGATTTCATATTCCTTTGGGCTGTCGCATCCTGCTCATCTCTTGTTTCATTATCTTCTTGTTTCTGGCGAAGAAAACACCACCCAACAGCAGCACAGCAGCACAGCAGCAGCAGTGACTGGTGGGTTTTTATAGCGCAGCCCGCGGCGGGGCGGGGGCGCGGGGGTCGCCGCGAACATATCCCGACCCCCCCCCGGGGGTGTTTACCATCGGGGTTGGGTTTTCGTCGCTTGGCAACGACGTTGTAAAACAAGCCGCCCCTCCCGGTGTTTTGCAATCGGGGTTGAGTTTTCGTCGCTTGGCAACGACGTTGTAAAACAAGCCGCCCCTCCCGGTGTTTTGCAATCGGGGTTGAGTTTTCGTCGCTTGGCAACGAGGTTGTAAAACAAGCCGCCCCCCCCGGTGTTTGCCATCGGGATTGGGTTT